ACGTCTCCTGCGCCTGCGCAGCCTCTCGACCAGCATCTTCTTAGGCTGCAAGGAGCTAAAAATCGCTCCCGCCCACCTACAAGCTGGGCTGGCCTTGAGGATCTTGGGGGTAGGGAGGGGGGCGTTGTAGTGGAGGGGGTAGAATGAAGAGTTGAGGACACTGTCTAGGTGCCAGTCCAATTAGGGCAGTAGGAAGAACGTTGGTGGTCAGGCGGGGGCCTGGAAGGAGCAGGGCGTCCCAAGCCTAGCAAAGGGGCTCCTGGGTTGGTGAGGGGAGAGGCTGCCGCACAAACATGTTTACTGCTGCAGTGGAGCTGGTGGCCCCGAGGGGCGCGAGCCCTGGGGCAATAACTTTGCTCAGCACTCCCCCTCCCATCCCCAGCCTGGCTAGGCTCCAAGACGATGACTTTGGCCCCAGCCTTCTCCCCTTCGGGCAGGCCAGAAACCCCTCAGGTTACCCCCGAGGGGGAGCAGTAGACTGCACCACCTGCCATCAGCTTCCAGGATCGCCGGGCGGCGCCTGAGGGGCGGGGTTCCCAGCGCGGCGGGAGGTGCGGCTACCACGTTCCTTGCGGGTAGCGTCCGGAGGCCGTAGGAGGGACGCCCCGGCCGACCCCAGCTTAAGTTCTCCCGCCTCCTGTCCAGCCCCGCCCCAGGGCGCCGACCAGGTCCCCAGCTGCCCGAGCTGCCGCGTACCTGCAGCCTCCGGCGGCGAATCAGGCCCGAATCGTCCATGGCGGCAGCGGCGGCGGCTTCAGCCCTGGGGAGGGAGGAGGGAGGCGGCGGCGGCAGCGGCGGCGGGAGGAAGGGGGCAGGGAGGGAGGGAGAAGCAGCGGGGACCTCGGCGGCGGCTGGCGGGGGGGCGTGGCTGGGGCGGAGCGAAGTGGGGTGAGCCCCGCGCCGTCACTGCGTCTGGGCGCCCAAACCCGGCCTTGGCCACAGCCGCACGCGCTGGGGGGAGGGGGTTGGCGGGGGTGGAGCCTCCAGACGCCCTCGTGGGAGTCAAGCTACAGAGACCCCTCGGTGCAGTGGACCCACATCTCTCTGAGAAGAGAGACATTCTCGTGGTAGACCCCCAACGCAAGAAACACAAGGGAGAGACATTCTCCCAGAGATATATTTCCTATCCAGACATTCCCCACCCCTGGACCCTGTAGGGGAAACACATTCCCAGGGGGAGATAGTTTCAACAGAGACGCCCTTTCCAATTAAGAACCCGCACCCCACCCTGAAAATCATTCCTGAGAGAGATGATCTCTGGGAGGTAACAGCTATTCTCAACAGCCTCCTCCTCCGTGAGAAGAGACATTCCCGCAGAGAAAGGTCCCGTAGGTGACATTTCACATGGAGACCCCAGGAAAGATGCCCCCAACTAGAGACCCCTACGGACCATATTCTCTGTGGGAAACTTCCCCCACGCACAAGACCACCACATCCCAATAGATACATTCTTACAGAGTGACATTTTCACGGAAAAGACCCGTCTTTAGGGGAGATGCTCCCTCAGAAAAATATTTACATACATGTATGTGCATATTGCGCCCCACAACTCCGGCGACCAGAACCTCCTTAGAGAACCCAGCAGCCCCTCTAGCAAGCCCTCCTTCAAGGACAAGATTAAGGAACTAGAGCGGGTCGGCTGTATTTATAGGAACGATTAGGTAGTGGGGGGGGGCAGTTGAGCCGATTTTCAGCACGCAGCGCCCCCCACCCCCAGTGTTTACACAGCTAAAGCCAAACAGATCATGCTTCCCGAAGTTGGAGAGGACAGTGTCCGAGTCCTGCTCACTCCAGTCTTGGGGAGACTGGAATAGGGACAGAGAATAGAAGGACTTCCCAAGGGTCACCGCCCCAAGGCCCTGGAGGGATCAGTCACTGTGCGAGAGCGACCCCTGCTGGACTATGGGGACGATAGCGAGAACTGGGTCAGGACTTTGCTGGAGAACTTGTTGCCTCATCTCTGCACCTTTGCGAGTTATCTCTGTTTGTGTATCTTTATAAGTGTTTGTCAGTATATTTGTGTTGCCATATCGCTCAGTGAGTTGCTCGAACTTCTCTCCGTCCACTATCCGGGTTCCTCCCGCCACCAACCTTTCTCACAGCGACTCCGCGGGAGCTCTCCATGGTGCTGGCCTGCTGCCTTCCTGTCTACGGTGCTGAAATCCAAACTCAGGGTGAGAGGCTGAGGTCAGGACAGAGGAACAGGTGCGGGAGGTCTGGGGAAAGGCATAGCCCAGACCACGTCTGACTCACAAACACCCTGGAGCACCTCAAAATGGGCCAGGGGAATGCTAAGTCCAGCAGATCTTGCTTGCTATTGCCTCCAGGATATCACTGGGTGCCCACAAAGGGACCTAGAGACAGTATCTACTGATTCATTCGCTTATACACCACTTACAGAGGAACTATGTGTGGAAGGTGTTTTGGGATCCTGGGGACAGCTGATAAGGAGACAGGCAAAAACTCTGCCTTACCCTGAGATAGGAGCAGATTTGTGGTAGTGGTCAGTACTCACAAATTCACAGTTCTGCTCTACAACCACAGCCACATGCACACTTTGCAAACACATGAACATGGACATACTCTGCAACAGACACATAGTCACATATTCAAACACACTCTGCACACACATATTCCATAAACACGGACCCACATGCATACACACAAAACCTATTGTACATATTTGCAAATACTCAGCAAACACAAACACATATAAAAGCACATAAATTCACACTCTAAAGACATACAAACTCACACTTAGGAAACACATACATACACTTGGCAAATGCAAACACGCATAAACACATATAAACACTCAACATAAGCCAGGTGGGGTGGCTCATGCCTGTAATCCCAGCACTTTAGGAGGTTGAGGTGGGTAGATTGCCTCAGCTCACAAGTTCGAGACCAGACTGAGCTAAAGTGAGACCCCCATCTCTAAAAATAGCCCAGCATATGGCAGGTGCCTGTAATCCCAGCTACTCAGGAGGCTGAGGCAAGAGAATCGCTTGATCCCAGGACTCTGAGGTTGCTGAGAGCTATGATGCCACATCACTCTATCAGGTGCAACAAAGTGAGACTCTGTCTCAAAAACAAAATCAAACAAAACAAAAACCAAACACTCAACATGAGCACACCCTCATAGTCCCAAATCCAAGATATGCCTAGTTGCATCCAATACCCAGACACATTTTTCTCTCAACACATAGATGTACATGCACATACCAAACTATAGGAACATTTTTCTCATTTGATTCTCCCTCTAGAATGTCAGCTCTATGAAGGTTAAGATTTTCAAGTCTTTTTTTCTTTTTTTTGAGACAGGAGCCTCAAGCTGTCCCCCTGGGTAGAGTGCCGTGGCATCTCAGCTCACAGCAACCTCCAACTCCTGGGCTCAAGCGAGTCTTCTGCCTCTGCCTCCCAAGTAGCTGGGACCACAGGCGCCCACCACAACGCCCGGCTATTTTTTGGCTGCAGCCGTCATTGTTGTTTGGCTGGCCCGGGCTGGATTTGAACCTGCCACCTTGGGTGTACATGGCTGGCGCCTTAGCCACTTGAGCCACAGGCGCCGAGCCAGATTTTCAAGTCTTATTCACTACTGCAGCACCAGTACCTAGGACATAGTAGGTGCTCAATAAATGTTTGAATGAATGGATGAATTGAAGGAATATTCACAAAGGATATACATTCACAGACAATGCAAAAAGACACAGAAGCATGCACATGCACACACAGGCTCTGTTCAGCACATGACAACATCCCTATGTTCACTCATGGCCAACAATCTTTAATCACTGACTTACATTTTTGCAAGGACACCTACCCTGAGCCTACATCCCCCCTCCACAGTCACTTACTGTGACTCTGAGCCTTATTTAGTTGCACACAGGTAACTTGGGACACATACAGTTCTTCTTATCCAGATTGTGAACACACCCCCACACAAACACACCCTCAACTACGAGCACATAATCATACCCTCAACTGGGTGGCACCTGTGGCTCAAAGGAGTAGGACGCCAGCCCCATATGCTGGAGGTGGTGGGTTCAAACCCAGCCTCGGCCAAAAACTCAAAAGAAGAAAGAAAAAACTCTCAAAAACACACACAGCTGCAAAAACAAGACACACAGATGCACATGAATCACACAAGCCACACAAACACATCCTCATCTACACACATGCACACCCCACATAGATACAGAGCTTAAGCCACAGCTCAACATAAGAACAAGCACATGGATACATACACAGCAGCCCAAGTCCACCAGCCTTTGGTCAGCAGAAGTGCGGGTGGAGGTAGGGAAGTCCCGCCCTTACATAAAACCACGCCCCTTTCAGCTGCAACTGTATCCTGGACTTGATCCTGAGGTGTCTCAACAGCCCCCAGATCTCCTTCATCTAACAGGTGAGTGGGGGGGGGCAGGTGGGAAGGGGCACAGATGCCAAACTTCCCCTTCCCTGGGGCTTTTGGACCCCAGTGAAAGAACTTGAGTCATGTCAGACCAAGTTTGGTCCCACAGGCCCAGCTCTGGGTGGTAGCCCCTAAGCCGATTGTGGGCCAAGAGAAGGTGACCGTGAGAGGCCAGCAGGGATTGAGAGGGAGGAGGTTGAGCAGAAGAGAGGAATTACTGCACAGTAGAGAGAGATTGGAAGAGCCAGGACGGTTCCTTTGGTTCCAAGGAAAGAAGGGGTCATTTAAAGGCTGACAAGGTGAGAGATCCTGTCAGGTGGGAGGGAGGGAGAGCCGCCATGGTGTAAGTTAGGCACATGAGCCTGAGGGATGGATGGGATATAGGTCTAATGGGAAGAGGGCTCCTGGGTCAGAGGCAGGCCCTGGTGGCCCCTTGGGATTTGAAAGTCCTTGGCCATTGCTCAGCCTGTTAGTGGCCCCTCCCCTATTCTGCCTGGCACTGCTTCCTGGGAATGCAGCAGGAAGGTGCCATGCTGAGCTCCCAGAAAGGGACAGCTGACCCTCACCACTGCACTGCAGCTGGCTTTTATCTCAGGTGGACATGGCCTGCTGGGGACACATTCAATCCAATGGCCTGGCCTGGGCCCTGCAACTGACCCTGGCATGGATCCTATTGGAGGCCTGTGGAGGGAGCCACACACTCCAAGCTAGGTCCTGGGGACACCATGGGCTGGCAACTGATCTGGACACAGACCAGGTGCACCTGGAAGGTGAGCACCCCAGACTCTGTCTAACCCCCAAGACCCAGGCCCCCCATGCTGCCATGGCAGACCAGAAATTCATCATGAGAGGGGCTTAGGGTGGCCACCAAGGTAGGCAGTTGGAGCTAGTGCTGAAGAATAATGGATAATAGTCAGACTGCCTGGGTTCAAATCCCAACTCTGCTGCTTTTGTAGCTTTGTGACTCTGGGAAAATCATTTAATCTCTCTGGGACTCATGTGGGCCACTAAAACAGGGGCCATCAGACCCATATCCTGTTATATATGAGATACAACAGACATACTTCACAGAAGCAGGAAGATTAACCACATGAACACTTACATCACTACCAGGCACATGACAAATCATAAGCTGATTATTATAAATGATATATGTTTATTAAAGCTTTTTTAAGTAAAGCTTTATTACTTAAAATATTTGCATCTCAAGTGAATGTCTTTACTTAAATTTTATATTTGGGAGGAATGATTTAACTGGGATCTCCTTTGTTCAGAAAACCCCCAGGCCTCAGATTCCAAACCTTACCTGAAGATCCAAGACCTCTCCTCAAAGGAGTCCCTTTTGCCAGGATCTTGTTGTCCCTCAGTGACGGACACGCCCGAGGCATTGGGCCCTGGGGTTCCTCCAGAGCCGTGTGGGGCACCGAGCACCGGGTGAGCACAGCACCCCCCAGCGTTTTCTATGTACTTTGCCCCAGTTGCATATCCTGACCCGTATGGCCCTATCTCCCCCAATATCCAGGTGCGAATTCTTCCTGGGACACCTTCAAGTTGCGCTCCGCAGTCGCTTCCGCACGCTGCTATTGGGGGTACGCCAGGCGAAGCCGCTCTGCCTGGAGCTCTGTGAGGCCTGGTAGGAGAAGCCAGCACGAAGGGCGGGGCCTATGCTTTGGACTGGGGCCTGAGATTCCCTTGGCCTGGTGCTTGAAGGAGCGTGGCCTCCTATAGGAGTGCATCAACGGAATGAGGCTTAGCGTTTAAAGGTGACACAGAAAGGGACAGGACCTGTGAAAACCCCAGCTTTTTTTTTTTTATTTTTTGAGACAGAGCCTCAAGCTGTCCCCCTGGGTAGAGTGCCATGGCATCACAGCTCACAGCAACCTCCAACTCCTG